GAAGAAGAAGAAGAAGAAGAAGAAGAAGAAGAAGAAGAAGAAGAAGAAGAAGAAGAAGAAGAAGAAGAAGAAGAATATACCATAGGCAGATGAATACTGTGGTTTGGGTCTGGAATGCACCCCAAAAGCTCATGCCTGGTTCTTGAGGCAGCAATGTCAGAAGTGAGGCTTTAGGAGGTGACTGGCTCACGAGGGCACTGACGTCAGCAGTGGATAAGTTCACTGATGGGCTCATCGTCTCATGGCTACTGGGGGTGACGGAAAGTCGGGAGGTAAAGCTGGGAGTGGGCCATGGGGTGTGGCCTCGGGGACAGGGTCTTGTCCTGAGAGGCCTCTTCTCTGGCTTTGGCTGTGCCTCTCTTTGCTTCCTGGTGACCACCAGGGGAGCAGCTTTCCTCTGCCACACCCTTCCACCATGGTGTTTGTGCCCTCCAACGTGCACGGAACAGTGGAGCCGGCTGACCATGGACTGAGACCTCCAACACCATGAGCTGAAATTCACCTTTTCTCACTTACGTTGTTATTCTCACCTAGTTGGTCATGATGAGGGAAACCTCTTCAACACAGGGAGCTGGTGGTTTTTCTGTAAGGGACACTTTCTAACAGCAGAAAAGACAAGATGATGGAGATACTAAAAGGAAATGGGAGTGTGAGAAGACACTGAAATTCTAATAAAATTATAAAGAATTCTTTATATCAGGACTCACAAAGTGAATAATTTTAAAGCAGGAATAATAAGATCAGATAATGTGAATGATGTGCTGAATGAAGGCAGTGACAAAATTTCTTTGCAAAAATGACAATCCGACGCAGATACGCCTCATTTCACAGTGCTGCAGTTAATCAAAAAGAGCTACCTTGGCAGAAAAAGGAAAGTGCTACTGTAAGGCTGCTTTCTGGAAATGCTCCCAGTAGTAAAACTTGACACTTTCACTCTCAGAAAACTCTTTCGAAGAGCATCTTCATATTTAGCTTTACTATTTGTCAGCTGTTAGTATACATTGAACTGATAGGCGATGTGCTGATTTTTTCCAGTGATGTTGATGAAGACCCTCACTTATTCTAAGTGCATGTCACTGGCAGGAAGTGACAATTACTGTTCTTTTCATACCTTATATATTTTATTTGCCTCATGATGTGAGCTAGGACTATTAGTACACTGTTAAATTTTATTCTCATGAAACGAAGAAAGTTTTCAAAAACATGAAACCCCAGTCATTAATTCTTTGAAGTACTTCCTGTGCAGTTCGGCTTTTGTTCACAAACTCTTTACCTAACCCCATCTTTAAGATTTCTACCTACATTTTCCTTCAGAAGATTTAGTGTTTCTGTTTTGACATTTAAATCTTAGGATTGGCAAGATAGCAGTCCTGAGTAGTGAGCCCCTGTATCAAATACACACACACACACACACACACACACACACACATCTTTGATCCATTTTTGACTGTAGTTTAGTGCATGGTGATAGACATGGGTCTAATTTTAGCCTTTGGCACGTGGAAAGCCAGTTTTTCCAGGACCATTTATTAAACAGGCTATCTTTCTTCCAGTGAATATGTTTGGCCCCTTTATTAAAGATAAGGTGGCTGGGTGCGTTTGCAGTTGTGTCTGCATTTCTAATCGGTTCCATTGATCCTCAGGTGTGTCTTTATGCCAGAACCATGCAGATTTTATTGCAGAAGTGGAAATCAGAATTTTGGAATAATAATAGAAAAGAATAGTGGGCCCACCAAGCAGTTATAAAAATCCTGTGTACTTAGATTTTTAGATTTAGCATTCTATCCTAGCAATCTTTTTATATTGGTTCATAAAGTTCTCCAGCCACTTTCCACAGCTACGCAATAGTTCCACATTTGTATAACCACTTTACTGTGTGCAGACATCAAGGTTGTTGCCAATATTTTAAGTGGTGAGAAAAGCCGCATTGAAGATGCACATCCTCAGGGTGAGTTCCAGACACGGGGCTGTTGCAAGAGAAGATGACTACGTCGTGGTTTTGGTGGATCACCTCACTCTCCTTTGGAAGGCTTTGCGTTCCCAGCGGCAGAGTTTGCGGAGCCTGGCTCTTGCTTAATTTTGGGCCTGAGCCTCGCTCATTCGCTTGCGAAAGCTCCTGGGGTGGAGTGAGC